TATAAGAAAAGAAACTGCTATTAGTTCTAGCAGTTTAGCACGTTCAATCTACCATGGTGGCGCATGGTCGTGCGTCGTTAAACCATCTAAAAGAAGAAAAACACACCCTTGTGACTATTCCTCAAGCTTTCCCGATTGTTCTACATAACATAATTTCAACCGTGAGATTTTTATCTATTCTATTACGCCGCATCTACACTGTCGAAGATTTCATTTTTCTATTTTACTCAAGACACTGCACGAGAAATATACAATGCACGTAAAAATTACGATACTTTTCTCGTTAATTCCTCAAGATCCATCTCTGTAACATTATTTTTGCGTACACGTGTAATTTCTTACATAGAAGTTCTTTTTCGTAAAATAATATTTCATACAAATTTATAAATATTCGTGGAATAGTAAAAATAAAGAAACAACAGGATAAAAAAGTATAGAATGATAGAATAAAAAAGCTGATTTTTTTTTTTTATACTGAGTTTTTCGAAATTCAGCGAGCCCTTAACGGATTGAAGCGTGTACCACCAAGGATAGTACACGATGAAAAAAAGAAGTTAGAAATCGCGTGTTCGTTATACGAAACATTTACTCTAGCTGAATGAAACGAAACGAAGCAAATTCCTAATAGGAGATAGTTTTTCTACGAACGAGGACTTTACCTTACATTCGTAAAATCTATTTAAATGAAAGCTTATAAAACACTCTCGATTCAACGTAAGTTACACGTATAAAAACTTGGTTCACGGAAGTTTTCATCGAATTTTGTCAGTTTTTAGATTGGTAACGTTTTATGACAGAATGATGAAAAATCAACGTCTGGTTCTCTCTCTCTCTTAATGAAGCATATTTCTCTTCTTATCGAAGAAATTCTGCACGTGACAGATGAAGCTTGATGAATCCTTATTTATCCGATTTCTCCCAGAAAACGTAGATTATCAAAGATCCTGTTTATCATCGAAGCAGAAGTTCAAGCGATTTGTAAGATCGATTTTATAATCTAAAGTATAAGCACAGACACAGACGAGGTACATGAGTAGACCTAACTCGCAATATATGTATCTTTTGATATCAATATATGTATCTTTTATATATGTATTCTTTACCCCCTTGCCATTTTCGTGTCGCATTTTGTACTGATTTAATCAGGTATTGCATCTCAACACACTAATGATGATAGAATTAAAATAAAAAAATATGGATAATATATATTGCCACGTCTAGTCCGAGAATTATTGAACTGAGATCGTACTTCATTAATAAAAAAAAAATACAATGATCTGATTGATGAAAACTGGGACGAAAAATGGATTACATATTTTGATTATTTATCTATCTAAAAGTATTAGAAAAAATTGATTGGTATATGATATTCTTATGAATAATATAATTAGGTATAAATTAAATATGACGTTTTTTTTTTTTTACTTATTTCAGTGTGTAGTGTATTTTACAACCTGAATGAATCATCTTTGTCCCACAAACTCAATTTTATAAAAGAATGAAGATGTATCAAATAGATGTTTCTACAAATATTGTTCGGTACATTATGAGCGGTGAATCATTTTATTTTTGCAGACTGTAAATGAAAGAGTTATTCTTTTTTCGTCTCCCTAATTTCAAAAATCATGTCTTTTAAGCATTATCACTTAAACATAGAGAGAGTGCACACCAACATAGAGTTCTTCTCACAAGATATGATCTATTTATATTTCTCTGTATAGTCTGTGACCACTGTATGAATTATAGTTTCGTACTTGATTTCTTCCTTCATTTTATAAACAATGATTATTTAATAACAGTAGAAAAGATACAGAAGGAGTTAAAAAAGGAAAGAAAAATTAAGAATAAAAAATTAAGAGAAATAATATATTCGACGATTCGATATTGATATTATTAATGCGATAATGATATTAATATAATATCAATAAATATTCATAGCATGACAGTATTATACTAAATTATTAGTGATGAATTGTTTTTATATTTTGTGTTTTCTGGTATATAACATAGAGCACAAGTAAATGACATATTTTCTAAGACGAATTTTAATCATACCACAACACGTAAATACAATATTCGTAGGTTCATTCTGATTATACTTACAGTTAGACATAGTTTTCTCTTCAGTAGTTCTATACACGTACGAACGATAACTTGTTCTCCTCTCCACTAGATCATATTGAAACGTGCACAAAACGCAAATCGCACTATTATAAGATTTAACATTGCTTTGTAGAAAGAGCTCTTATTTTATATTTCAACGAAACTACAAATACGTAAGAAACACCAAATACGAGACAAAAATATATGAATACACATATGATTACATCTTTGCATAAATACCTAACCTACAAAATTTTAATGCAATTATATAATTAACAACTAAAAAGTACTGGATAGAAATACGTTTGATGTAACAATAATAGTAAAGTCGAGCTAGTAAACACCGGCTAGCTAGTAAATATACAAAGTGGACACGATAATGATGATCACTTACGTCGCGCGTAGATTTTCCGCGTTTGAAATGTTCGCGAAGCGCGCCATGACATACGCACTCTGGCGGCTGACGCGTGAACTACGAACAACCGTCAGCGCGATCTGTAAGCGAAGTTGGCATGCAAGTTCAATCGTCTGCTTGTGATGCTTTAGTTAACCTCAACGGTTTGTCGGTGAACATTTGTTACGTTAAGCGTTAAATCGCAATCACGCGATGGACGACAAGTCTGGAGGTTTGAAAACGAACGAGCAGATCATAGAGGAGCTCACAAAAGATCTAGAAAGTTCTTGCATCAGAGTGAACGATGACGCTGCGTCGAACGACGTCGGGGATTCGGTTGCAAAAAGTGGTGATCTTTCGGACAGTTATTGCGAACATGTGAGAACAAACGGTGACAATGCTGACAGGTGTGAAATGGAAGGTAAAGGCGATACGAATCTTCCCAAGGACTTTGTGGATGAAGACACGTTGAAAGACAGAGAACTAACCCTCTCTGAGGATGAGAAAGAGGTTTGTAGTTGTTTATAAAGTTTATGACCTTTGTGGAATTGTAGATAGTGGTAAATGCGTTTAATTACTATATCTATTAATGTATATTTCAGGCTCTTAGAGCAGAAGCGGAGAAATATAAAGATAAAGGAAATGATCTTTTCAAACGGGAAGAATACCAAGAGGCAATATCTGTGTATACGCAAGGATTACAAACTTGTCCGTTGGCTTACAACAAAGAGAGATCCATTCTGTATGCTAACAGGGCTGCTGCAAAGTTAAAATGTTTGGTAATGCTGTCATTTAAAGACTATTATTTTAAACGTACGAAAGAATTAACAATTTTTCAAACGAACTCTACTATTTATATGATGCTGATTAAGTAGGACAGAGAATCTGCTATATCTGACTGCACTAAGGCTATAGAATTAAACCCAGACTATGTGAAAGTATATGTTAGAAGAGCGAAACTGTACGAAGAAACAGATAAATTAGATGAAGCTTTGGAAGACTACAAGAAGATCTTAACTCTTGATCCTGGTCACATAGAGGCAAATCATGCGACTAGGGTAATTATGAAAACGTATCTTATTCATTTTCAATGTTTTTGTGATATTAATACATTAAACGTTTTAACAGAGATTACCTCCATTGATTCACGAAAGAAATGAGAAACTGAAAGCAGAAATGCTTGGAAAATTGAAGGATTTGGGAAATATGGTATTGAAACCCTTTGGGCTTTCCACGAATAATTTTGAACTGCAAAAGGATCCGAGTAGCGGTGGTTATTCTGTCAAGTTCCATCAAAATCCCAGTTAATAAATTGAGTGGATCTTATGTCGC